CCCCCCCCCCCCGAAAAAAAAAAAAAACTCCCAGATCCGAAGCAGATTTTTCGTCGATTATTTATTAAAAAAATAGCTTAATAAAAACATATCACAGCTTAAAAAAAAAAAAAAGAGACTTCCAGAATGACAGAGAATCTCCTTTTTAGTTCTTGCCTCCTGGGAAAGGGAGAGGGCGACCGCAGGGGGCGGGAGGGGGGAGCCGGGGGACAGAGCGGGGAAGGGGAACAGAGGGGAAGGGGGATTGAGAGTGGGGAGGGGCGGATTGCGCCACGCATGGATCATCGCTTTCATTTTATTTCTATTTTTTGTGAATCACTGCTTTCAATTTACCCTATGGACATCAGCCAATTGACACGTGGCGCCATCTTCAAGCGACACGTGGCGCCTCAGCCGAGCAACACTGGAACGTGTGGCACGCAGCTTATCAGCCAAGTGCCTGATTTTGAGATCGGCCAGTATCGCGACACGTGGCTCATGATAACGACTGGCGAATGGCGCGCGGGATTTCGAGATCGGCCGGTATCGCGACCCAAAGACAGCTTGCCTGAGCAAGGGGGGGGGGGGGGGGGGGGGGGGGGGGGGGGGGGGGGGGGGGGGGGGGGGGGCGGGGGGCAGGGGGCGGGATAGGGGGTGGCAAGCCAGAGTCTGGCTTTCCATCCATGTCTGACGTGAAGCCACGACGGAGTGACACGTGGATGTGGATCCAGTTATCCCATCAAGACCCGATGAGGCAGCAGAGATGGACGGGCGGAGAGACGAGGGATCGGCGCGCGTGCGCGCGTGCGCTCGCGCTATCGAGGCAGATGGCGGAGCCACGCCCGGGGGCAGGGTCGGCGAGCGCGAGCGCGCGCACGCACGCGCGCGCGCTATTTGAGGCAAATAACTGGTTTTAAGGTCGGGATCGCGTCCGGTTGATGCTCTTGGCAGGAGGTGCGCGCGCGCACGGAACGGTGGACCCATGATCGGGACCCACGTGGGTTTTCGTTAGGAGTTCTTAATGAATGATCGGGGATTGGAGGACGAGGTGATGACGGTCTTTAATTAGTGATTGCATTAAGGGGGTGGTTGTGGTGATCATCGCTAATTCGTGATTGGATCGAGGAGGAGGTGGTGCCGAGCATTGTTAATTAGTGATTGGATTGCGGAGGAGGTGGTCGCGGTGATCGGTAATTAGGGATTGGATTGAGGCGGGAGAAGGTGGTCGTCGTGATCGGCAATTAGGGATTGAATCGAGAATCGAGGAGGACGTGATGGTGGTGCTGCTGATCGTTAATTAGTGATTAGATTAAGGAGGAGTTTGTGGTGCTGAGCATTGTTAATTAATGATTGGATTGCGGAGGAGGTGGTCGTGGTGATCGGTGATTAGAGATTGGATTGAGGAGGAGGTGGTGATCGTGATCGTCAATTAGGGGTTGGATTGGGGAGGACTTGATGGTGGTGCTGCTGATCGTTAATTAGTGATTGGATTGAGGAGGAGTTTTGAGGTGGTGATAGTTGATTAGTGATTGGATGGATTGAGGACGAGGTGGTGATGGGGATCGTTAATTAGTGATTGGATAGACGGAGGAGGTGGTTGCAAATTGGGAGAGTGGAGGGGATCGGCACAGATTGCGAGGAGTATGAGGGTTGGAAAATGGATGTAGTCTAGATACGAGAACGCTTGATGAATCGGGATACTGGTGAGCTAGCTGCGCCGTGATGATGACGACGGCAGCACACCACAGCCTTAGTGGATTTTGCCTCGCCGGACCACTCACCCCAATTGCGCGAAATGGAGCATGCATCTTCCCGTGGAACGTGGAAAGATACACCCGCCATAGCTTTTGTCCTTTTCAGACTACTGAGTGGTCCCGGCGTGGGCCTTACTCGGTGCCTCGTACGGAATGACGGCACGAAGACACGTGCGTGACACTTGCAAATGGTGGTGGC